AGCAGGAAATACTTAGAAAACAATCTAAGTCCTAAATGATTTGCCCCTTGTGGAGCCACCAGCCAGCCGAGGGCATACCTCAAACAAGGTCCTCACAGTCATCCGAGGGCTCCTACTTCACGCATACTACACTTAGGAAAATTTCCTAAGTCCTACATTTTTTGGCCCTCGGTCAACTCTCCATGTCGCCTGAGGGCTCCTACTTCATACATGCTACACTTAGAAAATTTTCTAAGTCCCAAAAGTTCTTACCCTCGGTGACAAGTTTCTAAGTCTCGGATCTCCCTGCAGCTCGAGGGGCCACACGATTGAAGGCTTGGTGAGACTACACTTAGAAATATTTTCTAAGTCCTAACTCTTGCTGGGCCCTCGGTCATACATCTAGCGAAGGGTGCCCAACTACCGAAGGCTAAAACTGTATTCAAACACTTAGAAAAATTTTCTAAGTCCTAAGCACCTCACCTCCGGCTATCTCACGAAGGCTACATGGAACCAGAGGGGAGGAACCGGTCGGGGGCCAACAGATGAACAAACACTTAGAAATATTTCTAAGTCCTGAACATTGTGCCCTCGGTGAAAGGTTCAACTGACAAAAGATTACTAGTAGCCGAGGGCTACAAGAAGCACTACACTTGGAAGAATATATTCTAAGTCCTAAACATACATTCAGAAAAGCGAATGCATACATTCAAAGAAGGGCGAAGGCATACATTCAAAAGAAAACGACGGCATACATTCGAGAAGAAACGAATTAAAGGGAAGCATGTTATATATCAAAAGCCCGAAGGCATATGTACTCATTCATCCGATGAAGGGATGTTTAAATGTACATTACCAAAAGGGCCGAAGCCAACAATTACAACAAAGTATGATTACAAATCGGGGGGAATACATTTCACGAAGGGGGAGCAAAGGCGTGCCCTTCATCCACGATCACAACCACATCGGTGGTCGGCTGTTTGGCGGGGGCGGCGGTCTTCACCTTCTTTGCCGGGGGCTCGGTCCCACTTGCCGACATTCTTCTTCTTCGCGGGCTCGGCACCCCTGGACCCTCCAGCGCCGGCACCGGCAGCAGCAGCTTGGGAGGGCTCCTCCCTGGCAGAAGTGCCTGCCGGGGCCTTCTTCTTTCCTTTCGCATTCTTCAAAGCGAAGAGAGAGCCTACGTCCATGTTATTACCTGCAAGAAAAAGACACAGGAGGGTTAGACCGAAGGGTATCGATTACAATGGCATAAAAGAAAGGAAAGAAAAGGAATGTATGAAGAAAACTATCAAGGTACAAATGAACCCTTCGTTAATCACCTCCAGCTCCTTCGAAGACTCGATCGAGGGGAGGGTATCTTTCATCCGAAAAGCCCCTCGGCCTGAACTACCGGAAGCCAAGGCTAAGCAATTCCTCGGGGAGGGTGACATCCCTAATCTTGACGTGCTTATCAGACCCCTCCGGTTTTTTGGCAAGCACTTTGCCATTCTTCTCCAGGGCTGCGCTCCCTACCTTCGGGTGGCGCCGGAACTTGTTGCGGAGCTGGGCCGGGAAGGGGTTCTCCTCGAGACGAATGTAGCAAAATCGCTCCTTCCACCCGTTGTGGGACGAGGGCACGTCGTCAAAAAGCCTGAACTCCGGTACCTGCTGAAAGTTGGCAAAGCCCTCAGCATTTGAATGCCCCCCCGGCAGAGGTTAAAGGACATGAAGAACTGGTCAAGGGTAGGTTCAACCCCCCGGCTCTGGCACAGGGAGAGAAAGTCGGCCACGTAAGAGTGGCTGTTGGGCGTTAGCTGGCAGGGGGCCAACCCCACGAACCTCAAATACTCCAGCAAGAAGGGATGAAGCGGAAACCGAAGCCCCATCTCCACCGAGAGAGTGTGAACAGCAAAACACCCTTCGGGTGCATATCGCAATAGATCATCTGCCCTGGGCTCCACCACGCGCGCCGAAGGGCCAACCAACATCTGAGTGGCCTGGTATTCTGCCGGGGACGCCCTCGTCTTCAGCTCCAGGGCGGCGGTGTTCAGGAATGAGTGGCCCTCGGGTATGCCTACCGGCCGCCCGGCGTCAACAGCCGCTTGTTTCTTCCTCGGGGCCGCCTTCATCTTCTTCTTCTTCCCGGGAGCCACGCTGATGGGCGTCGGGTCCAATGGCCGGGAGGAGCTGGATTCCCCGGCACCACGAGGGGGAAGAACGGCAACCGTCATGGCCACCGCAGCATCACCACCCTCGGGGCCGGCGTCAACAGCCGCTTGTTTCTTCCTCGGGGCCGCCTTCATCTTCTTCTTCTTCGGCAGTTTGCATGGCGAGGGCGAGCTCTTCGTCCTCATTTACTTGCTCGAAGTCTTCGGCTTCGACTTCGGCCTGAAGGTCTTTCTCCACCTCCATGGCCACCGCAGCATCACCACCCACCGAGGACTCCCCGCTCGAGGACTCAACATCTGAACACGTCTCCATCTCGACTGAAGGCTCCCCCGAGATATACTGGGAGTCGCTTTGTGAAGACATCTTTCCACTAGCCGAGGGCTCGGAAATGCTAAGTATCCTAAAAAAAATCTAACTCCTAGCCTAAGGGCACAGGGCATAGCTAGCTAGGAGGAGAAAAGCAGAGGGGAACTAACCTTAAGAGCTGGGAATCAACCGAAGGCTGGAGTTTCTCTCTCTAGGAAAAATCCGGCAGAGCTTCGCTAACAAGGTTTCGCACAAGGGGAAATGTCCGGCCATGGGGTATTTATAGGCAAAAGGATCCGGGCTTGGGCCTGGAAACCGGGCCTCCGGTTGGACTGCCATCATTACCAACCGTGGTTTCACCCAATCGGTGATGCCCGCCCACGGGCAGCCAACGAGCACGCACCACGTGGCAACCCCTCCCAACGGCTATATCCTGACGTTACATATTCCAACGGCTATATTTCTAACGGCTATATTCTGGGAGCCCCCGAGCTTTTTACTTCACTCCACTTCATCAAGGAGAGCCTCCGGGTACACTTACCCAGAGACGCTCCCGGGTTGTGCCCCACACGGTACATAACAGATGCCTTCGGGATCACTCCTTCAGAAGCCCAAGGCTTCATATCAGGCCACCCCTCGGGAATCCCCCCTCAGCACTTTGAGGGCCAGGTAGCCCCCGGGGAGTATGCCTCATTGATGGACAGCCTACGGCACACAGGTAACGGGACCCCTCGGATATCCTCATCACCAACTAATCAACAAATAGGGGACCCCCCGGTAACAATTCAACTACTACCCGCATTCATTACGCCCTCGATCCCCAGATTGAGGGACTCCCCTTCGGCGCCTCCCAGGGTATCAAAAGCAAGCCTCCGGCTAATCAACAAATGAGCCCCCAGAACGGGTAAAGCCTTCGGCGTCATCATTATTCTCCATTCCGAACCAAGGTTTCACATTTTCGATTCATCGTTGGGGGAATTCGGTGCACTCTTTTTCCCTCATTAGGATTTTTTCCCACAGGGTTTTTCCTAATGAGGTTTTTAACGAGGCATCCCCCCAAAATGAAACGAAAAGCGTCAGCCTTCGGCCCAAAACAGCAGCGCAACTACTCTACTCCTTTTCACCACTTTGCAAGTGCCTCAAGGAGTGGGGGACTGGAGGACCCCCTCGGGAAAAATCACAAAAATCACAAACACGACCCCTCAAGTCCCGACATGTGGGTAACTGAGGAACTGCCCTCGGCAGAATAAACAAACAGCAAACTACCCACAACTCTACAAACTACAAACGAAACAACGACAGAGGACAAACACAATTACTCCTTTTCCCTCAAGTACCTTTCGGCAAAAGGAGTGAGGGACTCCTGATGGAGTATATGGCTCGGGAACCCCCGGCCCACAGACTCCTGCTACTCCAATCAAGGCCCAACAGGCCCAGAAGGCCCAACAGGCCCAAATCACAGCGCCCAGAGTACCAAGCAGCTCACAATGCGCACCAGGGGTGCCTTCGGCCCCCTGGCCGAAGGCTCTAACTCTCACAGGAGGGCCAGGACAGCAAAACAAAGTTAGTGGGAAAAACGGCGAAAATCAGTAGCCCTCGGCACCTGGAGCCCTCGGCACCAAGGGCCCCCCTGTACTCAGAGCCCTCGGCCAGTCCTCTACAGCCGAGGGCGCCTCTTCCGACACGGTATCTGCTCCACGTGCGTACAGATCACCGTACCCTGTACAACGTCCCATCCAACAGCCACATTAAATGCGGCCACATGCGGTTGCCAACGCTAACCAGTTGAGGTGACACCTCGACCAATGAACGCTTGACACGTGTCCCTGTCCGGCATTTATTGCTACTATAAATAGCACCCCATTTCTCCATTTGTAACCACGCTGAAAACGCTGAACACTTTACAATATACTTTCTCTCTCTATGTTCATTTGCTCTGACTTCTCTCTTGTTATTCCTCGTAATAACCCCTCGGATAAGCTACCCCCGGGTACACTATCCATAAGGGACGGTTCCCGGTGGAAATTTTTGATGCAATTTTTTGAGCATATTATTCATTAAGTCTAGTTTACTCATACCAAATTTTAGCTAAAACTTCAATCGGGAAGACATTCAAATGATTTTTTGAAGATAACTGCGCAGTTAAAAGCGCATTTATCTTCAATAGTTTATTTGAATGTCTTCCCAATTGAATTTTTAGCTGAAATTTGGTATGAGTAAACTAGACTTAATGAATAAGATTCTCAAAAAATTTCATCAAAAAATTCCACCGAGAACTTCTCAAAATGGCCACGGACACACAGAGTCTCCTATATAAAGGCTTATTTGCCCCATTTCTCAAACTACTCCCTCCGTCTCGGAATTATCTTCATACTTTCCTTTTCGGTCTGTCCCACATTTATATTCTCTTTCCCTTTTTAGCAAAAATTTTGTGGTTCACAACTATTCTTACACATTCTTACACATTTCTCTTTTCTCTGCACAACTCTCAACCAAAAATTTCCCACTATCTTAATATGTGTGCCAATTGTACTTTTGAAGATAAATATGGGAGGGAGGGAGTAAATTAACAGGCTGTCTACCGTACATTCCTTTCCCTAGTCCAACCCCATCCTCTTCGCCACCGGCTTTCTCCCTCACGCGCTGAGGTCGCAGAAATCATCCCAGGCCGTGAGCTGATGAGCTCAGTCAGTTGCAAGGAATGTTGCCAAGTCGGTCGGGAAGGGTATGAAAATGAGCTGATACCAGCAGAGTCTCCTCACCTCACTAAATTCACTTTACATGCCCCTAAGATGGTATGTACGAGATTCTTGTAAGACCAATCTTTTCTCCCATTCATGCTATCCGAAACTTATTTCAATTTTGGGTGTATAAAGGTTTATAAGCTTTGCTAATTCCCTGAGTTCTTTCGAGCACTCACGTGAATGATTATGTGAAACTCCATCAAGTGATCAAAACGGGGGATTTAGATTTTGTATCCCTGAACGGCTGAAATACCTGATTATGCGGGGTTTTCAAAATTTAGAAGAATGGGATGAAGGATGTTTCGACAGATTTGCTGTGTTTTGTGAAATTGCAATAGGCACTAGTTTTGTTTCACTCGTTTAAATCAATTCCTCCTATTTCATCAATTTCAAATGCTTCATCTGTCCTGTTTTGTCTATCCCTTTTAGTGTTTATTTCTACTGATTGGCCAAAGTAACTTTGGTCTCTTGCTTACCAATACTTAATAGAGGGAAGTCCCGTGCACGAAGGCAAGGGTCCGGTGAAGGGGTTGATTTTAGACTATTATGAATGATGCATAGAATTATTTGCTTGAAAAATAAATGATTCTGGTTGGAGTTATAAAGCTTTAATCATCTGCTTATCTTGTGTAGATTTTGATTTTCACAGTTTTAGACATGCACCTTTTGTGTGTTAAATTTAGAGCTCATTTATTTATTAAAGTGGATCATGTGCAGGTAGAGGTGGAGTTTGAAAATGAGTATCATTTGTCAGCTGAGTATCTCAGAATTTATAGCCCAGCAGCTGATAGTAAAATCCGTTCGGTTGGGGGTGAAAAGGTACAATAACAAGAGACTGCACTGCACAACTGTTTCTTCTTGCATGATAAATTTGATCCCTGGGGGAGTTGGATTAGTTGTGGAACCATGGTAATGTATGTGTTCAGGTGATATGTGGGAGGCGCTATGTTGGGATGATGTCAGCAGAGCCGATAGGGAACTACGGCGTGAGGTTGTTGTTTGATGACATGCACAAGACTGGCATCTTTACATATATGGGATTACTTGTTTCATCTCGGGAGCAACAAGTTCCCTCTCATGAGAAATTACATCAAGACTGAGCCGCGATCCCCAACCACTGGTTAGAAGAACAAAGTGACATAGATTCTTGTACTCACCAGTCACCACAGTTGATTGAACAACATTGTATGACTGCATTTGTACGTGTCTGCTCTCTTGTGTGTTCTCAGACAATCAACCGGTAACATGTTGCCTTGAGTATATATAAACCTTAATTAAAGAAATGGATTTAATAAGTACAGCCTTTTATTGCCTTGTCTACATCATTGTGGCTGAAAGAGCAAGCTTGGGACCGCCCAGTCTAGGCTGTAAAATGATATTTTATTGTGATGTTTTCCAAACAATATACTCCGTTATTAATATTTTCGAATGGGCAGAAGCTTTTATCTTGATGCACCAGGAGGAAAAATGCTGCAGGTTTTTGATGCTATTATGGAGCATATGGCAGGCTAGAAATGAGGTATTGTGGAAGAAGTCTCCTGCTGGTGTAGGGAGTATTATTGCAGTGGCTGATGCTTTCCTTGATGGATGGAGAAGGGCTCAAATGACAGCCTCAATAGTAGGAAGTATTGCAGCAGCTCCCAAGCATTGGATTAAACCGAGAGAGGGTCGTTTAAAGGTCAACGTGGACGCTGCGGTGAAGGTAGAGGGGGACTGCAGCAGGTTGGGTTGGGTGGTAAGGGACTATACAGGGTCTTTTATTGTCGGGGGAATGAAGAAAAGTCCTGGAGCTTGCCAACCTCGCGAAGCTGAAGCCCTTGCGATAAGGGAGGCCATCAGTTGGCTTAGGGATTATGGCTTTGATTTTATTGACGTGGAATGTGACGCTAACTAGGTTATCAAGAGTATTCAGGATAGTTCAGATGAATCATCCTTCAGGGTCATTATTAATGATGTAAGAGATATTATGACTAGTTTCACTAGCATTTCTTTTTCTGATGTGAAACGGTCAGCGAATCAGGTTGCTCACGAATTAGCGAGGGCAGCCGTTTCTATGTCTGATTGCTATGTGTGGCATACCACACCTCCATATTGTATTCTGTAATCCTTAAACTTTGATTTGATTAATAATATATAGTTCGACTTTCTTAAAAAAAAATATTTTCCAAATGAACTACGTAAGGACATCTCTATTTTGTTTGTTCTTATTTTTCTTGACAAGAAGTGAATATGAATTCATCTCACTTGAGAGTTAAAACATTCTTTATCCGGCCAGAAGCTGTCCGACACATATTAGGATTTTATGTGAGAGTGAAGTACTACTAGTATTATTTATTTTCTTTAAATTTTATATTGCTCCCTATTGAGCTAATGTTTCAAAAAAATGTTGAAAAAATGTGTTAAAATTGAATTAAATGGTCATTTGGAGCAATATTTTGAGTGGGATCCACTTTCGATTTGGATCGGGTCAAAGTGGTTTCGGATTGTCCTTGTTAAGGGCTACAATTTGATATATGGTACACTCAAAACGGATAACGGGTGAATGAGAAATTGATTCTCGAAATTCACTCGTTGAAATGGAAAAACTGGGAAAATGATGAGTTCCTAGTGTGATTTATCCCACACCAGAAAACCCAAGAGATTTTCACCCCCTTATAAAGGGAACCCTCTTTGAAGGAGTTAAGATTCCTACGGGGAAAGGCTCTCTTTGCGCGCAGGGGGTGCTTATCAAATCCTGAAAACAGAGAAGAAAAATTGTGACTCGTGTGCGCGGACGACCTGCAGACACGAATGTCGTCCGAAAGTCTATCATTCAAAGATAGCTCGGACAGAAAACCTGTGCGGGGCTTTTCTGAACAAAAGACCACATACCAATTCTGGTGGCTTCTGAACAGAAAACCACAGAGCAGTTTTGCCTTCGAGGTATTCTGTCTGCACCAGAAAGGTTCCGAACCGTTACAGTAATAAATGCTCAACGTTCTTATCTTTTAATGCAGCGTTAAATGGACAGTTCATGGACGACTCAATGCCCAACAGACTGACTTTTAATGCAACGTGGCTTCTGAACAGAACACCACGGAGCAGTTCGGAAGGCTGCCGAACAGAAGACCGCAGAGCTGTTCTGATCGCACACATGAACCGTTACAGCAATAAATGCCCAACATACTTATATTTTAATGCAGCGTTAAATGGAGACTTCATTGACGATTCAATGCCCAACGGACTGGTCATTGATATCCAACGTTCAGGTCCATTAACTCTCCATTAACACACAACAAATCCTCCTATAAATGGTTGTCAGGTGCTTTGCAACAACACAAGCAATTATACAAAGTTAGCACGTATTTTTGAGCTCTAAAAACACCTCAAATACTCCGAAAAATTCCTGAGTGTTCTGCCTCTGTTCTCGTTCGCCGGAACTTTCGTTTGTGTGCTCAAACGTTAGTTCGTTAGCCACCGTATCTTGGTAAACGGTCGTTGCAACGCTCCTAGCACCGTGGGAGGCGACGAATTCGTTTTAAGGACATCGTGCGTTGCACGAGCTTTGGCTAAATTCTGCTTCATCTATTTTCTGTTTTCTTTAGTCATTTTAATTAATTAATTTTTTATTAATTATTTTCTTTGTTTTTCGAAACACACCCAACAAAAACTATTAATAATCGCAAGTATTTTTTCATGTATATTACACGAGAAATGGTAAACAGATCATGGGCCTCACTTTTTAGGACTGTGACTGGCCGGTCCCAGTTTCGGTCTAGCTATTTTGCATTAGAACCATCGGGAAGTAATTTAAAAGGGGTAAAAATTTCTTTATCTAAAACTTAAAAGGGTTTAAAAATATAAATAAATAAAACGTCTTTGCTTGGACATCTTCGAAGGACCGACAAGGGTATTTCGTCAGTTCGTGATACAGCTCTGAATCTTCATACAAACCTCTTCTGAATGCCTCGATGACTGTTGGTATGTCACATCGGGGGATTGACACCTTCTCTTTGTTGAAGCGGTGGAGGTAACCCCTTAAGGATTCGTTGCGTTTCTGGACCACACGGTAGAGATCACTGGTCTGCTTCTCCAGAACCCGACTGCTTGCAAATTGCTGGTTGAAGAGGTTGACTAACTCCGCAAATGAGCTGACGCCTTCATTCGGCAGATTGACGAACCACGTCAGCGCTGGCCCTGTCAATGTTGTCCCAAATGCCCTGCACATACAAGCCTCCCGCTGCTCTGGTCTGACCGAGGTGGCAAGCATCTGCTGCTTATATTGAGCGACGTGTTCTAGGGGGTCGGTAGTTCCATCGAATAATCTCATCGAGGGGGCAGCAAACTTCCTTGGAATCTCAACGTCTATGATGTGTCGTCCGAAAGGGGAATCTGCGTAGCATGTCTGTGAAGCGACATCCAATGGAGGTGGAACTCCAAGGATACCATTGATCTTCTCTCGCATTTCCCTCAGCCCTTCCATGATGACGGATAAGGGGTCTGTCAGGCATGCTTACATTTGTCTTGTCGTCGAGATTGGTGGCGTCGTCACCCAGGTCACATCATGCCTGGTTGGTGAGGATATGGCGATGGCTTCAGGCTCGACATGTAGAGGGATATTGTCGTGTCGGGGGATGTCGATACGGTCTGGAACTCGTCGTCTCTGAGGTTCCGGAAATAGACTAAGAAACACGTTCCTGCTGGGATTCTGGAGAGGAATAGATCGGTTTGAGGGCCCCGGATCTCCAGATGCGTCGGCTCCTGAATGACGGATAAAAGGTTCGGTCGAGACTGGAATGGGGTCAAATTCCAGCCTCGTTGCTGCTGTCATGGCGTCACCTCTTCGGCTAAATCTTGAGTTGGAAGCTATGGACGCTACCGATTGCACTTGAGAGCGCAACACGTCATTTTCTCGTTGCAAAAAAGCAATCCGCTGAGCCATTTTACACCGGATTTCTTCCTTCATCGCCTCCAATTGCTTATGAAACTCGGCCATCATCTCATTGCTCGTTCCTTGCATGGAGAATAAATTTCTTGCACGATTTCCCACAGACGGTGCCAAATTGTTTTAGCCAATTTTTGATAAACTAAAACTAATTAGAATAGAAATTATATATTGATTGGGTTTCGTACAAGAACGGTAAGGAAAATGACAAGAACAACAAGAAGGGTGTCAAGTAAGCAAAATAGAAGGTATATTGATGTGTAATTCGAATGAGGGGTCCCCCTGATTACATAGAGCTTGGTTCTATTTATAAGAGAGATATTTAATGCCTTTTTGTCCGTTGTTGACGGTTTCGACCGTTACGACGACATCAAAATCGTCATTATGTCGTCATAAATTTTGGTCAGTCATTTGAGTAACCTACGCCATAATTACAACAATAACTCTCATAATATACATGAAACCGCTAGAATTAATCATCTAGCATTAATTCTAATAAATACGTCATTAATTGCCCCGGTCAAGGTTTCCATATTATCAAATTCCTGCACCAACCGTGTACAAAAAAACATTTTCGATTTCTACCTCCCTAATCCATTTCCAAGAAAGGATTCATCTCATAAAGTGCCGTTTGATACCTTTTTTGCCAAACAGATCATCATGACATATACATAAACATCATAATTTCTATATTTTCATAAGCATCATAATTTCTATATTTTCATCAACTTAATCCCTGAAAACAGATGGGGGGATTGTGGTAGAAAAAGATTTTTTTATATAGCATGAATCCATAGTTCAGAACCATAAGAGATCTCAGGGTTTGGATTGATAAGAAATACTCCGTAAATTGGCTAGATTTCATTTTCTGTTTATTTGCATCCCATTTTTGAATCTTTTCCATTTCATCTCAATCCTCTAGTAGTCTAGTTCTTATCATCATGATCTACAAATCTGATATTTATTTTAGGCGTGCACATCTTGCGTTTTCTATCTCCAAAACGTTTCATTCCTTTCTTTAAGGTCCTAAGGAACTAATTAAAACATATGCAGTAATACAAATGATTTATTATACTAAGGGAGAAGGCTCAAAAAAGACACTAACTTTGTTTAATAATCTTGAATTGAACACTTAACTTTTAAGTAGATCAATTTAACACATAATCTATTTACTTTGATAACATTTGGCCATCCACTCTGTTTTCAATTTAACGGGGCTCAAAAGTGAACAACTTTGTTTCTTTAGTTCTAAAAAGGTGTATAATTATTTTGTCCAATTTCTCCACCAACATGCTTCTCTTTGAGCTCCTTCATCTCAAACTTGTAGAACATATTAATACATCAAAGAAGCAAAAACGTAGAAGTCAAACAAGCGGAGAACGCAGAGAAAAACTTGGACAAGTTTCTTGCTTTTCTAGGGTGTGTTTATTCTAATGATCGCAGTTTTACTCAATAATTACTTCGGCAGTGTTCGGAAAACTATTGATGAGTCTAGTGGAATTCATGGTAAGCTGGATAGGGAAAAGTTGGGTCCACCACAAAAGTCTCGCCAGTTCTTGTGGATCGGAAGTTCTTCATCTGCGGCGGTTTCGGCTGGTAGCGGTTGCATAGGATCCACTAGTCTTGGACCGGTACCGGGCCGATCGGGCCGTGAACCGGCCCGGCCCGCTACTGTGTGGGCCCGAACCGGACCGGTGTTCAGGTACTGGTTCGGGCCTAGGCCCGGACCGGAGAGTGTGGCGGGACGGTTCCGGGACTAGATTTTGGTGACCGGGTCGGGTCGGGCCCGGGCGTAACGGTATAATTTTTAATTTTTTTTGGTTAATTGGGCAAAAGAGCTGTTAGCCAACGGTTGGGGAGCTCCCAAACGGTTCTATAGCCGTTGGGAGCATAGGGGGAGTGTCCCAGAGGGTGGGTGGGGGTGGGGGGGAATTTTTCTATAAATACGGAGTACTTATTATTCATTTCATTTTTTATACCATTCATTCTCTACTCTCCTATTCTCTATCAACTACTATATTCATCAATTTCATCATCTTCATCTACTACTCTTTTCCAATTTCTTAACTGCTATTACTATTCTTATTATTTCTAATATTATATATTGTATTTAAATTTCCATATATAATTATACTATTAATTAATAGTAGTATTGTTATATACTTATATTAGTAATTTCCTATTACTATTGTTATATTAATACTACTAATATACTTTGTTATTTATATTAGTGTCCTATTAATATACTTATATCTTATATACTATAAATATTATATTATATATTAGTTATACAATTATTACATCTAATAATATAGTTATTATCTACTTATAAGTTATAAATACATATATTATCTACTTAATATCTACTTATTATATAGTTGTTATTCACTTATATTTACTTATATTACATCTAATTAATATAATAAGTATATATAAATATTAAAGTATTAAATATAAGTGTACTACTCATATTATAGTAGTATACTTATATTTTCTATTACTCCCCTTAAATCCTTAATTAGTATACACATTCATACATTTTTCCTATTACTTACTCATTCTAGTTACATTTGTCATTAAAGTAGTTCATTACTTAATTGTTACATTTGTCATTAAAGTTTTTATTAAATTAGTTCGAATTTTTAAGTGTGATTAATTACTTAGATTTTTTAGTTCTTAAATTGTTACATTTATGTATTTATTAAATTAGTAGTTCAAAAGTAGTTCTTAAATTGTTACTTAGTATTTATTAAGTATTTACAAAAAAAGTAGTTCCAAAAAATTAGTTTAGTGAATTTTATTTAAAAAAACAGTTCGAATTTTATTAATATAGTTACGCATTAACATATTTCTTAGAATTTGATGTTTGTTACATTTTTAAGATGGAACGTGGTAGAGCTTCGGTAGATATGGGTAACCTCAATCGCAACCGAAAAAAAGGAGATTGCGAGGAATCATCCAAGTTCACGCAAAGGTAAAGGACGGGCCAGGTCTTCTTCTAAAACCCGAGATGATTTTGAAACGGATTACTAACGGAGAGATGCGGATTGCGTGTCCGAGGAGCAACTACAACAACTATTGGAGCAACAACATGGGCGTTTTTTCCAACAACAAGACATCCCAAGAACCATTGACGAAGAAGAGCTCGAGGATTAGGATGCGGAGGAGGGCGATCCGGCGATGAGGAGGGCGATCCGGAGACCCACGAAGAGGAGCCTAGTTAATTTCGCAAAGTGGAAAGACCCAAAAACCGAGAAATGGTACGCAATGTTTAGATTACTATTATGCTTCGTTTTTTTTGTCCATTTCCTATGTACGATGATAAGGCCATAGACCCTAAACAAGAATACCAAGAGGTTAGTAATTTATTATTTCAATTATTTAATGAGTTTCATGCACAATATGGTAACGCACCCCCTCCCCGACACGAACATCTTCATCTAAAGGAAAATCATTTTTTTAAATCAACATTTGGCAATCTTATGAAAAAAAGTAAAGCAACTCCTGTTGTTGAACAAAGCTCAGTTAACGAGCTTTCTTTATATCTAACATTTCCTGTTGATTTTGAAGAAGATGATGACTTTGACGTTCTAAAGTGGTGGAAGGATAAAGAAAGAACGTTCCCGATTTTATCAAAGATGGCTAAGCAAGTGCTATCAATGTTGGTTTCAACAGTTGCCGTGTAACAAGAATTTAGTGCGACCGACAACGTTCTAACAGATTATAGAATGAGATTGAGCGCAAACTCTCTTGAGACGCTTGTTTGCTACCATGATTGGTTGAAGGCCCAACATAGAACTCAAGAACTTAGCATCACCCTCACTAAACACTTTATGGAGGAAACAACAACTGACGGTCGCGGAGATTCCGATTGATTATTTGATTATTCTTTATCACTTTACACTTCATGTTTTAATTTTTTACGTAATTGTGAAATGTAGACTTGTAGTTCATATATCAAATATTATACGTTCAGTTTTTTGTATGTAGCACTTAATTTCATTTGTTAAACTAAAAAAAGACCGACCCGGACCGGCCCGGCCCGCTATTCAGGAGGGTAGCCCGGCCCAAACCGGTACCGCCGGAGACCCAGGCCGGTCCCGGGCTCCCTTCCCAAAGCCTGGCCGGATCGGGCCCGGTCCATCACTAGGATCCACCGGTCGCGGAGAAGTTATGGCACAGGCGATAACTTGATTTACCAAAGCTTCAAAATCAAATGCACCAAATCAACCGACAGCGAATGGATTTTTTCGACCTATGTGCCGGATGCCAATGAGCTCTGACACCAGCTATGGCTGCAATTGAAGCGAAATTTGGTTCATATTTCGAAAATGCCAAAGCTAGTTTGTGAACTACTAAGAATGACAATGGAGTTGAATGGATTCAATAAGCTATTGGAGCAATCTGTGAATTTGTTTTATTCGGTTTGTAGGTTTAAATTGGAAGAGATAAGGATGGTCAACGTTAGGATGGATGGTCCGTTAGAAGAAAGGTTAGTGGAGTTCGTATATAGTGCATCCGGGTGTACGTACACCCGGCCCAGGTAAGAAACACGGCCCAACCACTAATACAGGTCCAAAAAAATTCGGTGGCAATATTGTAATTTAAGAGAAAATTCACGGCTTCCGCTAAATGAGCAATATTGTACATTTAGTGAGCATTCAACCTATTTTATTGAGTATTACGAGGCTAACAATGAGTAACACGATCTCAACTTCATATCTTCTAATTTTTGTTCTTTTTCTTATTTTTTCTTTTATAAAAACTTATTAAATTATATCTATAATACACTCTTATGAATTTCAATATGTGAATTTAGTGTAATATGATACTTTTGAAATATACATTGATATGACATTGTAAAAGTGAGCATAACATCATTACCAAATGAGCATACATAACTTACAAAGTGCACATTGATATGAAAATCGTAAGGTTTTGTTAGTTGAACATCACAACATTTTAATTGAGCATCAAACCTCCGATATTGAGATGAAAATCATAATTTCTTGTGAATGAGCATTAATGAACTTTTAATGAGCATCAGACCTATTATGTTGAGTATTAGGAGTCTAATATATATGAGCATACGAACACTACCAGATGAGCATACGTAACTTACAAAATGAGCATTAATGAATTTGTTAGTTGGTTTGTTAGTTGAACATTACGATATTTTAATTGAGTATCAAACCTCCTCTATTGAGATGAAAATAATGATTTCTGTTAAATGAGCATTAATGCACTTTTAATGCATGATACCTTCAATTGAGCGTTAGTTTCATAAGCATTGATAGGACACTTTAAAACGTGCATATATAACAACAGTCCTGAATGAGTATACATAAATTATAAAATGAGCATTCAATAATTAAAAAAATCATTAAAAATCTGTAATGTGCTTAAACATTCATTTGTGTAACAATGAGAAATATAATGAATTCTAGATTCAAAATAGTTTATAATTTGTCATTCTTGAATTACAAAATTAATCATAATCTTTTTATAATGTTTACTCATGCACATTTATTTTTTACACTATGCTCAATTCAGTATAACACAAAACTCATGTTAATAATGAGCACACAATGTTCAAATAATTAACACACACAAATTATTAAATTAACAAATATTCATCTCCAAATTAAAATAGGAAAAAAATTGATACCTAAAAGATTTTTATAAGGCACTATTTAAAGAAATACTTAAGTAGCTATAAAGGAAGGTTAATTAGAAAAAGAAAAAGAAAAGCAAACACGGACGTTAAGTTCCACATTCTATATTGCACATATTTATAAATTAAAATTAATGGAAAAAAATTGTTAAGAAAAAAAAAAGAATACCCAGGGAAGAAACATAGATGCAGAAAGAATGCGGGAGAAAAGTTTATAAAGAAAGCAGGCATGCACGCACCAGGCACGGAAGATTAATACACAACCAAGACTATTGCCATTCATATTATATATAATTACAAAAATACCTGAGTGTATACATACACCCGGGTGTACGGTATAACTTACGAAGTTAGTGGGGTGGCTGAATGCCTGAATGTAACTCAAATACTAACTCCGTCCCTTAAAACTTTGCCAAAGTTGACCGGCACGGAGAATAATAAAGTAAAAACTGTGTGATTAAAATTTGTGCAGAGGAGAGAGAAATCACAGAAACCACAAATAATTGATTAAAATGGAAAGTGACAAAGTTTTTTGGGACGTCCCAAAAAGAAAAGATGACAAAGTTTTAAAGGACGGAGGAAGTAAGTGATTTTTGTGTTAATTTGGTCCATTTAAAAGATTAGTGTCCAATCTCAACTTCGCAAATAACAATAATGTCCTATTTGAACCTTCTCCCTTGTACTAAAATAGGATGGTGATGTAGCACCTTAATGTAATAGAATTTTCGCTCCACATTGATTTTCATTGTGTATTTTGGACCAGTTTGAGTTGGAACTTGGAAGAGCCATAAATCTTCATCGCGATCGCTCACCAACTACTACATATGAATCACGTTTTTATCAAACACTCCAACTTTTACTCTTAAATAAATCACATTCATTCTATAACACAATTAGCTTTAGTAATTAAAAAGTTGCTCAAAAATCGCTTAGGATTTACTAGAGCATAAAAATAACTATACCCCTCATTACTTTTCCATATAAAAAATACGGAGTGTGTCAAAAACCGACCAAACATGCAAGTTCCCAACTCCCAAGTGCATATCAGAAGCGTTATACTTCGTATTTGGGAACTAGAAAGCTTGTCATAAATCCATAATCACCGTTTCGTCGCATTTCTCGTTTCATGTTTCCATGCATTTCAGGCTTTTCTGATGTGACTGCACCTGAATTTGAACCCCAGAGAACATGACATGAGATTAAAATGTTAGCTGTTAAGAAAAATGCTTACAGGCTTGTTTGGCTCGGTTAGGAGGGAGAGAAGGGATCAATATTTATTGTCAAAATTATTTCTACATTTAGATGATCGAAAATAAAGTGATTAACTAAATAAAGATTTATCCTCCCCTATTCCTTCTGCAATCCCTGAAGCAAACAAGCTTTAAGGTTTTGTCTCAATGCAGAGTATTGGACGAGTTTCAAGGGGAGGGGGCATTCTATGGCTTAGTCTATTCATCTCTGATGTATAAAATTGTTATATGACCACAATTTTCTAAGTTATCAAAACCCTTCATCCAACAGAACCTAAGAAAATATGGGTTCTACAGCTACTGCAGTACCATCTTTAGTATTATTGGATCTTTGAATGTCGATGCGCATACTCCTCACGTTGATCAATTTGCATGGCATCCTGAAAAGTTCAAACAGAATGAGGTTATCAACATATATACAAAGAGACATGCTCTATTCTTGAATTAACAAGAAAGCACTCCTAATTCAATTGTTCCAGTTCAAGATTGCAAAATAATAGATTACATACAGTGACACTGGCTTCAGGTCCAACAATCTCCCTCTTCACTCGCGTAGGTTGTGTGTTCCTGCATTTATAAGAAATGAAAACAGGGCCTTCGATAACTTCAGAGAGCTTGAGATGACTCATTTTCATAGAATCACAATTGTTCTTAGAGCAAACAGAGTACTTGCATGTCAAAAAAAAAGTTTTTGGCAGAAATATAGGGAGAACTACCAAATAAGCCCTCTAACTTTCATAAAAAGTGCAAATAAGCCCTTTTATGGGAGGCTCTGTCCGGCCGTCGCCATTTGGGGCGGTTTCCGGTGGAACTTTTTGATGAATTTTTTTTAGCATCTTCTTCATTAAGTCTAGTTTACTCATACCAAAGTTCAGCTAAAAATTCAATCGGGAAGGCAGTCAAATGATTTTTTGAAGATAACTGTGCAGTTAGGCAGTGCAGTATATTTCAGAAAATCATTTGACTGTCTTCTCGATTGAATTTTTAGCTGAAATTTGGTATGCTTAAACTAGACTTAATGAAGAAGATGCTCAAAAAATTTAATCAAAAAATTCCACCGGAAACCGCTCCAAATGGCATCAGCCGGACAAAGCCTCCGGTAAAGGGGCTTATTTGCACTTTTCATGAAAGTTCGAGGGCTTATTTGATAGTTCTCCCCAGAAATATATGAAAACATGCATTTAGCAGTTAAAAAACGCTTTAATGCTTATTTTTCCGAAATAAGCAATCTAGGCTTAAATGAAAAGGCACTCACGACATACAGTGTGTTTTCCATTGCCTTTTCAAAGGTTATGCGCCTTTTGCTTTCAAAGCCCTAAAACAGAGTTTTTAAGTAGGCCTTTCGCCTTAACTTTAAGCACTTCTATTTTTTGAAAATACAATCAGCTTTTCCAATTAAATATTTTCTCAATAATCACTACTATAAATCACTTCTGAAAAGCACTAATAAATGCAGACACTCCTAAGAGCTATCCCAATCACAATCTAAATGAGGAAAATGATAAAACAATAGATAGAAAAATGGAATAAGGATATACCAAACTTCATCCCTCGGTTCATACTTTACATCAGAATCATGATCCTGCCACCTTACATCTTTACAATCTTGATCCTCATCATCCTGAAGATGAGTGATGAATAAAATGCAAATTAATGCTTTAGAAATCATATAATTAATACTACTTTAAAGCAAGTTAGGGGGTGAAATATTTCCATTTGTCCAACATCTATCCCGCCAATACAAACGTCAATCCATCTATCGGGTGAATCTTACGGAAAATATCAATGCTAATAGAATAGGCTGAATCCATACAAAGAATTATAAGAATGGTTAGTTCTCGGTTCTCTATCTAAAGAATGACTATGCATTTCTCAATCATCTCTGAAAAACGATACATGGAAAGTAATAACAAAATGGATGGATTGCATATCCAGCGGGGAAATTGTCAATGGATGAATTAGCATATAAACGTATTTTTTAGCAAACTTTAAATGGATCACAAATGAATTCATGGATAGGATGTATCATCTTTACAAAACTTTCTAACTGGATCGTAAATGAATTCATGAATTGTTTTCAGCAATCCATTAAGGGTCGGTAATCTGAATAAAACACTTATCAGTTCATCCAATTACCTCTGGAAGTTCAGTACCCGGAGGGCGCTCCTGGAATTGAACACTTGGTGCATGCTGAAGTTTTGAGAGATTTTCTAGCAGCTTTGCTCGCATTTCTTCCAACATTTGACGAGAATTTTTGTTCTCCATATTACTCGGAGCGACATGAAGAGTATAATCCGGGCCAAAATACTCATAATATTCATGCTGTGGCATTTTATCTTCAAGTTCTATTCCAAGAGCAACTCCAGTCTGTTCAAATATAAAGCAATTTTATGTGTTGGTTAAAAAGTTTAGAAACAAGCCTTCTGTTTTTTTTGGGGGGGGGGCATTTAAATTTTCTACTGCCAGATTCAAATTAGTGTCAAGAAAAAGAGAAATACTTCATAGCACCAGCAACGAGCTACGTTGCGTATAGTGTATCCGCCGCCACCCAGCAATAGCAATGGTACATTAAAAGACCTCATATATCTCACACATTCTGCATGGCCTTTAATTGAGAGATTGAAGCAACCCAATCTATCTCCAGACAATGAATCGGCACCGCATTGCAACACCACAGCACTGGGCTTAAAGACTTCCATCACTTTGCTCATTATTGGCTTAAACAGAATTTGATAGCTCTCATCATCGATACCATCATCTAATGGGACGTTAAGGGAGTAATATTTCCCATTCCCATGTCCAATATCATCTATATCCCCAGTACCAGGAAAATAATCTTCATATTTATGAAATGAAACCGTCATGACCCTGTCTGTAGTATAAAAGGCCTCTTCAACACCATCACCATGATGGATATCAATATCGACATACAAGACTCTCTGCCATGTTACACACCACAAAAGGTGGGCTATTAGTAGTAGGGACAATATTTCAAATGTATATAGAAAATAATGTTGTTCAAATAAATAATACACAATAAACTAAGAACCAACTCATCTACAACGATAACATTTGAAAAGGTTTTCACTAAATAGGAAATCTGAAATCCATCATCACTGATGAGGGATGCGTATTAGGCCAGCTAAGGTAATTTCGATGAGCAAACATAAACAGGATATAGGACTTGTAGAGTTGTGGATAATATAAATCTATAATAGAACTACATATTGAATTTTGTCATGTAAGATTATTATATGTTGGTAAGATATCCAAAGTCCAAACTAAGTGCACGATATATATTGGTAAAGGTGGATAGGTCATGAGTGCAAGTTATGATTCTTATAAAGTTCAATCCTATAATATTACAAGAAAATAAGAAACTGTAATCTTATTCACAATAACTTGACAAAGGAATTAATGCAAATTGAAGCTAAGACCCGCATTGATTGAAGATCCTAGTTTTACATAGATAAGCCTACAGAGATTCCTTATGCATAAGAATTACCGAATTACAAAATGACAGAATTTTTGAATAAGAAATAAAACACTATATGAGGTATCTGGTTAAATACATTGACTCAAAAGCCTTAGATTCCTAAAGTTGAGAACAAATGATTCAAAACATGTGATAGAATAGGGCATGTGCAAAATTTACTGTTATAATGAAACATAACGCCTTATGAAAAGTGTCTAGAACCTTCTGTTCAAAACTTTTTCCAAATCTCAGTTTTGTGCTTTTCCGAATCAAAATGTGGATGACTAATCTTTTATCATGTCCTGAGTCGTGACACAGGAGTCTTTCTTTAATTATATCAAAGATGGATAAATGGATGTAGAAACAGGTTCTAGTGGATAAGGGGAAGACATGTGTATTGACGCCCCCCAGGGGTGAAGGTAGTGTCAACCTAGGCCCCGGCCACCCCCAAATTTAAATTTTCTTTTGATTATTAGTGTAAACAATTCGTGTAAAAATTTGTTCAAAAAATTATCTTTACCGGTCCAGCCCAGTGCCCTCGCTACGCCCCCCCCCCCCCCCCCCAAAAAAAAAAAAAATGGTTTTACATTCAGTGACACTCAAGAAAATATTGTAGGTTAGAAAATTATCAGAAACCAACCTGGTGATCTTTAAGAAGCTCTAAGATGGCAAGCACTATGTCATTCACATAGCAAAAACCTGAAGCCTCACACTTCTTAGCATGGTGTAACCCGCCGGACCAATTGACAGCAATATCACATATCCCATGATTTAATTTCACTGCCCCACCAACAGAACCGCCGGCATATGTTTGACAGAAGGAGTACAGACCATCAAACACTGGACAGTCTTCTCCAACATTAAACCTCTTCAGCAGCCTAAGATTATCTTGTTGTGTTTCTGGAGTTATGCTTTTCAAGAAAGCAACATAATCATCAGCATGGAACCTGCAAAGATCCTTATCTCTAGCAGGAGAAGGCTTCAGTACATGCATATGTTGTAGTAGTCCGTAGTGAGCAAGAAGGGCATGTGTCATCCGAACTCTGTGTGGCTTCATTGGATGACCTTGACCATAATAATAATTCCCAACTTCTGGGTCATAGAAATAGCATACCTTTCGCTTCTTCCCATCTGGTCCAGATGATAATGAGTTCCCTCCTGTATCCATTGCCTATATTAGAGGTAACCAATTAAAGTTAGATGACAAAAATAAGTCATGACTCCTGATAGCTAACAAATAACATTCGTAATATAATGGAAACAGAAGTGAACAAATTTACTGGCCATGGTAAAATAATGGGTATGCTTGGGTAAGGTTTTGGTGGGGAAGAGAGGAGACAGGTTATTTTTTATTTTTTTAATTAAGAGAACTATATATAGTTTGTGGTAATAAATAAATGACTATTTTATCTTTATATTTCGGGAAAACTATCAATCAGCCCTCGTACTATATTGAAAACGGCAATTAATTTTCTTTATTTTCTATGTCCTTATTCCATTTCCCAGGACAATGTCATTTCACTCCATCCATGCTCAACCCTGTGGGCACACATCTGCCCTCTTATGTCAGCCACAACTACCGGAGTCAAAAGGAGCGTGGCTTCTTATTTCAGTGTGGAAAAGGATTCATTAAATTGGAACCCCCACAAAATCAATACCAGTATATTGGCACATGAACTTCTGAAAGCTCCGAGTAGAAGTATTAATGTCTGGTGGTTGAAACGAACATACTTAAAGCCCTATTTCAAGGAATTTGTAGGCCCAACCTAATCAGTTATCTGTTCCCTTCTCATTATTTTGATCTCATTAGTTTAATTCAACATTTTTGCTTAATGGCTTACAAGCCATGTTTCTGTGGATTGGCTGAAGAGTCAAAGATGAAGAACAGCGATGGCAAGTTGAAGGAAGTGAATATGCACTCCAATTCTTTGGCTCTCTTCTGTCGTACTTCATATTCTTACGTCTGGTGCAGCGATGCTGAATCCATGGTGACTTTCAGTACTTCAGATGCCCTCCCATAGTTTTAATGACCAAAAAGAAAATGCAATTAAAGCGACATTGTCAGCCACATCAGCACCTTACAGGATAACCTGTTGGTGATTAGTTAAAACCCGAGATTGGGTGCTTTTCATATATTCGGGGTTGATTGGTGATTTGATAGTAGATGGCTTAATTGAATCTTTTCCTATAGCACAAGGCTACGAGCCTATAGGGAGTTAGGGACTATTTGACAGTTCTTCCTTTTATTTGTTATACTCTGCAAAATTAAAGCACTATTTTCTTAATATGAAAAATAACTCCTCCCCTCCTTTCTGCCGAACCTCCCCTCTCAATCATACAAGGTTCCAAAAACTAGTTTCAAAACTGTAACACATATCCTTCTCAATATATGGCTTGAAGGGCTAAAAGATACACCATATAGACTTGTTGCTACATTGGAGCCTTGGAGGGCTTAAAGATCCTATCTTTTCCATAAAATCTGCCACACCAAAACCCCAAATCTTTCCAAACTTAAATTAGACAGAAATATACACCTATGAGGTAGGGCTTGGCAGAGAAACAACTAATTTGATATATACGGCTTCAGTTAGTCGTTTAAGAAACAACTCTGGTTGCAATTCTTTGATCAAGAAGGGGCATATAGACAATAAATCGAACTTTTAAGTAAAAAAATCAAATCCTAGAAATTATCGAGCGAGAGTGATATAAATCAAAGAAGGTCCAACAAAAAGCATAACAAGAATCGTGAGAGTATATACGAAACAAACATAACAAGATAACATACGTCCGTACAATCATCAAAGACTGTGAGCAGACCTGGGAGAGAGGAAGGCAGAGTGGAAGCTAACGGTTGTTAATGGATATTTTAAGACTTCCAGAGCGATTGGTGGAGCCGTAAGTTTATGCAGCTTTGAACCCACAAGGGGAAAGAACTCAAGAAGAGGGTCCGAGGATGCGAATTTCGTGAGACTTCAGTCTCATGTAAACAAAAACCTCCTATACGCACTTGCTCTTTCCAATCGTGTTATGAGTTTCCTTTGATTTTGAGAGATGTTTTTTAAAATCATAATCCTTAATTCCTTATGAAGAAAAATCTGTTTGAAAATACCTAAAATGTGTGTGCAACAAAATATGGATGTATGTGTACACCAACAAGGCAACAAGCCACCAAATATGGCCCAATGCCCATTATATAAACAAAGATGATATTTGGGAAAATTGACAATAATAATTCCAAATTGTAATTTAAAAAATATAATCCTAGTTAAAAAATATATATTTATTTATAGTAATTTAAACTATGGTGCGTTCATTTTTAGTAGTCACAACATTATAAATCAAAAATATTGCAAATTGATTGAAAATTTGCACTCCATATTTATCTATTAATTTTCCGTGTTTATTTCTAAAAGTATTTTATTACATGCACCACTTTCATATTTTGTTAAGTTTTTCAATTATATATAAATAAATACATTTCCTTACTTTTTTCCATTTACCCTCCATTAATAAATTCACATCGGTCTTTCAACCCATTTACACATTTCATACATTTTTTATTATTTCACTTAAGATTATGATATGAACATCTTTTTATTAGAAATAGTCAAAACCTCCGAGACATGCACCCTAAATCTTAAAATTTAAATTATACTCATATCACATTTGTTATGTAATTTATACAATATAATAATATAATATGAAGGGAGGGCGGGGGGCGAGGAGAAAGAATGAAGAAAATGAGTACATTGGAAAGTACATTGTTCCAATCCAAATGTCTATATATGATGTAATCAGAGAAGTAGTCCAAAATGTCTTCAAGAAGACCTCAATATAAGAGATAGCTCCTGAAGTAAGGCACATTAAGAAAGTCATGCCGTCTTATTTCAAAATTGTGTTCTATGATGCTTTTTATCCATATAAAATAGGGATTAATTCAAATTTTACAATGCACAATTTTTTATGGTGAATTATATTAGGGTGCGTTCAGCATATCTAGCTGATGGAGTATATGGATCTAGGCCCAGGACCCACATACTCAGAAGAACAGAAAGTACAAGCCACTAAGTGATGCTCTCGTCGGCCAAAGGACCCCCGTCGGCCGAAGAGGGACCAACTCGAATATATGATCCTGAAGCCAGGGAACTTGGGTGCCCCGTCGGCCGTGCCCTCATCGGCCGTGCCCTCATCGGCCAGACCCTCGTTGGCCAAGAAAGCTTCACAGAACTAGATTTTACACTTAACCATTTCTGCACACATTGTATTCGCCCCAATAGCGGTACAATTGTAGATGGGCCTCCCGAGCCCAAGGCTTGGGAGCCCAACTCGTATTTTCCCTATAAATACTCCCTCTGAAGGTAGTTGTAGGGGTTGGAAAATCATTTATTGAAACATTTACTTGCACTTCTCTCTCTAGCTCTCACCTCTCTCTAGAATATACTCTATCACTAGCAAACTTTGAATACATTACATATTAAAATATGGAGTACATTTGGAGTAAATGTTAGCCTTTGTTTGGAAGAATCTTATACTACATCTTAGAAATTGCAAAATCAGCCAATCGTGACAAATTTCATTTTTCTCTTATTTTTCCTTCTTTTAATTCACGAGTTAATTGAATTATTGTCATTTGATTGAAGCACATGGATTGAAATGGGCCAAGGGTGCGCTGAGATTATTAAAGGAAATTCAATGGAAGTGAATGAAGGGAATAGATGGTTGCGATGATAGATAGGTTAGGCGGGAGAATGGAGTAAGAAAAATGTATTTCTTTTAAGAACCTTTTTCGTGCGCCTCAACTTGTGCTTAGCGCACCTCTTTTTGGTTTTGATTGAACCATTTTGTCCAATTTCATTTCTTTTGTTCCGCCACACTTTTTATTTTGTATGGAGAAGTTCATATTTTTTTTTTCTCTTAATTCTTATGACCTACTCTATCACAATAACACATATTGTTGAGATTTTTTTTGGGGGAATTGTACTTTCGTTTTACTGTTACATTAATATAGATTTGTATTTTTCCATGCTTTTCAATATTAAAAATAGGGAGAACTATCAAATAAGCCCTCGAACTTTCATAAAAAGTGCAAATAAGCCCTTTTACAGGAGGCTTTGTCAGGATGTCGCCATTTGGGGCGGTTTCCGGTGGAATATTTTGATGAATTTTTTTGAGCATCTTCTTCATTAAGTCTAGTTTACCTATACCAAATTTCAGCTAAAAATTAAATCTAGAAGGCAGTCAAATGATTTTCTGAAATATACTGCGCTGTCTAACTGCGCAGTTATCTTCAAAAATTCATTTGACTGCCTTCCCGATTGAATTTTTAGCTGAGATTTGGTATGAGTAAACTAGACTTAATGAAGAAGATGCTCAAAAAGTTTCATCAAAAAATTCCACCGGAAACCGCCCCAAATGACGACGGCCGGACAGAGCCTCCTATAAAAGGGCTCATTTGCACTTTTTAGGAAAGTTCGAGGGCTTATTTGATAGTTCTCCCTTAAAAATACTATCGTATATAACAATAGCACATAGCTCTAACTTTTTTCCCATGTTTAAACTTGTGTGTATATATGTTTCCATTTCGACTTATTCAATATGAGACCACACAATATTCGATTAAAATAATAGTAAAACGTGCATATGTAAAACAGAGCCCATTTGATAACGCTCATATTTTACTCATCGGTCTTATCAGTCAATTTTTTATCAAACACATTGTTTTTTGTTTGACGTGCTGAAATGTGTATAATAAGAATAAATAAGGTTGAAGTAACTTTTATGGCTGAATTGGATGAAGTTACCGTGGATGATCATTTTAGCTATTTTTCATATGAGTTATTCTTTATTTTATTAGCTATTTAGTTATTATTCAGCATGTTCAGCCGCTTCACCTATAATTTCATCGATTTCAATAGATTCAGGCAATTTACTCAATTTTAGTGTTACCAAATGTGTTCTAACGTTGGACCAGATCAAACCACAACAAATTAAAACTGACCTGAATGCTTTGAGTTTTTCACGTTATCTAGAGCTTGTTTAGTAACCTCATTTTCAGCTTATCAACATTATCAACCAACATTTTATCAAACACGTAACTTTAAATTTCGCACGTCGAATTGTGGAATAATCAAAATAAGTAAGACTGAAGTTATTTTTCTGACTGAATTGGTTGAAGTTACTTAAAGTATAAAAGTACCATTTCAACTATTTTTCATATGATTATTTCTTTATTTTTAAATTGAATATTTCTTTAATATAATTTTCAAACTCGAGAAGAAAAAAATGAATTTTTTAACACTTCTATAATACGTAGTATATTTATGACTAATAAAAAGCAATTATACAAAATATAATTTAATTTTCAAAATAAATTAAAATATTTTAGTGGTTTCATTGATTTTTAAGCTCGATGAAATCCATAAAAGTAAGAATATCCCACGTTAAAATATTTAAGGGTTAATGTGTCCATAGAAGTTAGACGAAGTAAATTAGGGGGTGCGCGAAGCATCCCTTCTTTTATTATAAGATGAGATTTTAATTTTACATGGCCATGCATTTCACCTTAATTTCACGTGGTCCTACATTTCGTCGCATCACATGGGAGCTTCACCTTGTCCATTCTTCCTCTAATGTGAAGCAAATGACTAGTGAAAATGCCTACCAATTCCAAATAACTTTTGAGTTAAAAGCTCAAATGCATAGGTTGTACTGATTTTTGGGATGAAAAGCTCAAAATTAGTTTATTTAATATTGGATTGCAAGAAACCTCAACTGCTATTATAATTAATCTAGATGTATGAAAATGTATGTCACCGCATTTATAACGTGTACACACAATTAAAAAATAAGTAGTAAAGAGTTGTTTTTTCGACGGTATCAACTTACCAAATGTTAGAAATTTTATATGTTGGTGTAAACACCATAATAGATAAAAACGATTTGTTTCATTTATTTGACGAAGTGGGTCTTTTGACAAAAGATGTTAAAAATAGCTATTATGGGGATCTTTTTTTGTATACCAACTTTGTGTTTCTAATTTTGTGTATTTTGAATTTTTTGGGTCAAGCCAAGCTCTCCCAAAAATTATGTTTTTATTTTTAATTCATGTACTTTTAATTCAGGCCAAGCTCCCCTCTTTGTTGTATTTATTCTCATTTATTAATAAAACTCTATCAAACGTTCCCGACGTTTGCCCCGCTGATTTTGGTGGTTTCCTTTGTTCCAAAAGGTGGAATCTCCCACCCCAGGAGCCCTCCACCCCGACCCGACACGATGGTGGGGAGATTAGTCACGGTGACTCAGTCAGCAGAATGACAGTAGCTCATACACTCGTGCGCATCAGAGGTCCAACATTATTTCAGGTTCTGTGACCTCCACCTGGTCACTGCGGGGATTCGAACTTCGCTCCATTGTTCCAAATCTCCCATCACTCGACCAACTGAGCCACCCGTACTGGTTTTTGGTGGTTTCCTTATCGAGTTAAAAAAACAAATTGTCCTTTGTGCACAAAAAGCTTAAACCTCGCTAGTACCATAAGTTATTCTTATAAATCAACTCCACTTTTAAATAAACGTACTCGTAGAGTCGTACTAACTACTGCTCCGTAAGTCGTTGTAGCTGATTTTTGTACGCTTTGTTTACTTCCAAAACTGCACTTCCGTTTTCTTTACCAACTCTCAGGCGCCGTCTCTAATCCAATCGCTCTGTTTCCCCTCACATTTTGGTTTCTCAATCTCAGGCCATCTTCTTTCTCCCTGTTTCAAAGATTCAATTTTTCCTACTGTTTGACAACAGCCACCGCTTCAGCCGTTCCAATGCAAGCCCACTCACTCACTCCACCCTCTACTCTCACACCGGCGGCCACCCGCCACTTTTCCGCCGCAATCCGCCGGACCAGTTTCTCCCCATTTGGGCCCCACGCAAGAAATCCCACCACATTCACTGCCAAAGCCGGCCCCGCCCCGGAAACAGTCCCGCCTCCGCCCCAGCCCGACGCCTCCTCCGTGAAGCTGAACAAGTACAGCTCGCGCATCACGGAGCCCAAGTCACAGGGCGCCTCGCAGGCCGTGCTCTATGGGGTGGGTCTCTCCGATGGTGATATGGGCAAGCCCCAAATTGGGATTTCATCTGTCTGGTACGAGGGGAACACTTGCA